TCTGGCTCCTCGACCTGAAAAGCTGACAACAAGACACTTCGGCAGCTCTGCTCATTTGGCTTTGGTGTAATTGGTTTGCTGTATTGGTTTCATTTATTGTGTATGACAGTTTTGGTTATTGGATTTCAGATTTTTCGCCTTGCCCCTCTCTGTACCTTTGCTTTGGTTTAATTGCTTTTTTGGTTTCGATCTTTCGCCCGGTACTGGTTTATTCTTTTGCTTGCCTCCTCGGACACTGTGATTTCGGACTGGGTATGTTTGCATGTACAAGTGGATCGGTGTGTAGTGAGCAGTGTTGGGGAGTAACGAGTTACATGTAACAGCATTACGTAATTTAATTACAAAAAAAATGTAATTGTAATCTGTTACAGTTACTAGAGAAAAAGTGCAATTAAATTACAATTACTTATGGAAATATTCATGATTACAATTTTAGTTACATCATAAGATTGTATGCAAAACCTTGCTAATATCTTTAATAACGGTATTTTTATTGATTTTCATGTTTTTCTTATGCAAAACATCCTCCTTTGCTATTTCCCTCCACAGCCGAAAGTTTGAAACGATTCGATGATTCTGATTGGTTATCCTGTCGCATCTACATTTGCAGCCAATTCTGCTAATTAACTTGCCCGAGCGGTCTGAGTTTCTGTTACAGGAAATGGCAGACACGGAAAGGAATGCATTCCATTGCTGGAAATATAAAAAACATTTCCGATACATTACGGAAAAAAGCACAAATTTAACTGTGCAATGCAGTGCATGTTTACCAGCTGTAAAGATGTTGTCGACATCTAAACAGTCCATATCCAACCTAAGGAAACATCTAGAGGTAAGTGCAGCTTATTGTAACTGCAAACAGTCATATTAAACAAAGCAGGGAAGACATGCCTACCTTCAGCGTGCCACACGTTCTTCTAAAGTGTAATCCCCGGTATGCACTGTGTGATTTCAGCAATCTTATAAAATCATTACCTATCACACTGTGCGATACGGATCTAATAATCTTAGCTATGACAGGTATGCAGAGTGTAGGACGACAACACCAACTCAATCATAAGATACGCCGCATAGGACAACAAAACAATATGTAAACACTGACAGCATGCGTAAACACCACAATGAATCGCGCTTTAAAGCCACACTGGCACTTCTGATCCCGTTGACAGAAAATGTGCCGCCCTCCTTCAATATGCTAAGGTTATTGGTAATTTATGTTAGGTCTGTTATTAGCACTCCCGACATGCTATGTCGTAGTGAGTTTTGAAAATTCACTAACTAGCTAACCCCTGGGCGATGTAGCATTACCACTCTGCTAACCCATTTTATTTTATAGTGCTGCAAAGACACTGTTTTAGGCTACTCCGTGATTTGAGTGAAAAATTGACCTAAACAGAGAGATTACACAATCAGTGGAAATTTCATATCCTGTCTGATGCAAGAACTGTTCAGATCAGAAGTAAAATGGAACCATTTATTTTCGCAAGTATATAAAATGTTTGTATTATAATGTAATTCTGAAGCGTCACAGAGTAGTCGAATCACTCGTAGTTTATCTTGTTTTGGACACATATTACAATTTAATAACTAAAGTTTTAACTTTTTTTTTTTACATTTTAGGTATATTTTATGTAACATTAACGTTATGACGTTTCACTGAGGGAATCTGGGTTTTCACTGAGTATGAAGCGAGGATCTATTCTTACCCATTGTTTAAAATCATTATTAGGCCTGTATGGTATGTTTGCTATCTTTATTAAATTGATCAATTATAATCATGTTAATTCATGCATTGAAAGGAGTTTGACAGTAGTCAGTGTTTAGTACTGCAGTAAACACTACCAGGTTTTATTTATAAATGGTTAACGGTTGAGAATATTCATTCATAATTTAGAAAAGTAATCAAAAAGTAATCAAATATAATCAGTTACATTACTTTCATATAATAATTGAAATAGTTACACCACCCTTACGAAAATTAACCATGGTTTCCTATGGTTTTTATGCAGTAACCATAGTTTTACTATGGTACCTCATGGTACTTTGGTACTACCCATAGTACTACCATGGTTTATCCATAGCACTTCATGGTACCTGTGGTACTACCATAGTTTACATATAGCACTTCATTGTAACCATGGTACTACTATGGTTTTAAAAAGGACCCAGCAAATGTGCACTTGCAAGGCCCATCCGGGTTCTTGTCTGGAAGTGTGGACTAGGGCCAACCCACACCAAACCTAAATGCACCCATTGCGGGCTATGATGAAAGTAATGATATTGCAAAACACTGTATTACAAGCATTTTTTTAATTGTAGAATATTTTAATAGACTGTACATTTGTAGAATTTATAACTTTAAAATAATTTCATTCAACATTTTCTTTGTATACATCAGGTACCCTACTTAAAAAGTAATAGTAGTAACATCAATAATAGACTAGCAGTCTGTCAATTAACTATCATATCACAATAGTACATTTAATTAAGCAAATTAAGTCATATATAATAACTAATTTTGAATTTCGGTAAGTTTAATATTTTTGTTGCAATTTAAAATCATTCAATATCTGTTGTAGGATGTTATATTTTAAATATTATGCAGGTTCTGTATAATTGCATCATAATTTGCATCATCCAATTACACATTCAGAGAGTGAAGACAAAAACACTGCACAACAATTACTTTTACTGTACAATTACTGTAACAACCTGATGTTTTCTTGCCATGTGTTGTTTAAGATTCTTCTTATTTAGGCTCATTCTACAGTGAGGACATTCAACAGTTACTTGCTTTCTATGGACAGCTTGTTGGCATGGTATGAGTGCTTGATCAGGTTGCCCTGGTGGATGGCCGGCGGGAGACTCTGTTGGATGTCCAGAGGGAGGTACTGGTGGGTGGCTGACGGGAGGCGCTGGAGGATGGCCGGCGGGAGGCTCAGCAACAATGGAATGGTGCTACGCCCAGTGGGCGGTTCCAACGCTTTGGAACCGCCCACTGTAATACACTTCCAGCGCTTGAAATCCGCCCACTCGCGTCAGTGTTCTGCAGAGACAAGTATTTGCTGTAGGGGTGTTCGGTTCCGGTTTTTTTGGAGTCAACTCCGACTCCGGACTCCTAATTTTGGAGTCGGTGGAATCGACTCCTCGACTCCATTTACTTTGAATTAAAATAGGGTCAGGATTCAGAAGGTGCGTCTCAATATTCTTCCTCGTTTCCTCACTTCTCGCTCGTATGTCCTACGACCCTGAAACCGATCGAGCTCCGCTCTCATGTAGGACATCTAAATTCTTTAATTCCACCGGCAGGAGGGCGAGGAACGAGGAGGCTTCCTGAAGAGTCAAGAGCGAGGATACAAATGTTTCCTATACTAAAATGTTTAATCAACTAAACCTTATAAATCCCCCTCCTTTTCACATCGCAGCTTCTTCAAATCATATTTAAGTGTGCAATATGTTAGTATTAATCATTAAACTTGTAAAAGCAGACTTGTTTTAGACAGTGTATTTATCTATTTATTTTGTATATTATTTTCTATAATTTTAATGTAGTGTAGCTATGAACTTTAACTTAAGCATGTTTAACTTTATTTTTTAACTTTTTTTGTTTAACATTGAAAAATATTAGTTATATTATTACCAATAATAACTGTTGTTTAATAATAGTTTTTAATGCACTTGTCATTTAATAATAGAAAATGAACTTCATATAGAGTGAGTACATGCCATTTCACTAATGTTAATGTTCCATCCTCGCATCCTAAGGGGATGGAGGTAAGAGGAAAGGAAACAAGGATGCATATATAAGAATTGACAAGCACACAAAGCATTACATAGTTTTTGTTATACACTTAATTTACTCCCTTCAGTTTTCAGAAGTACAACACTAAACACTATACTCTTATTTACACAGCACTTGTCTTTTAATGTCTTATTTAGGGATAACCTACATGATTACATACATTACCTGGAAATTATAGATATCAAAGCTCTTCTGTAGAAAACGTCTAATTTTGTATACAAATAAGTAAAGGTCATTATTAAAATGTTTAATATTGAAAAATTAATCAACACAGACAAGAAACAAAAATCACCTCTAAGAATGCCTATATGAAATAAAAAAGTATATTTAATGACTGATTGCAACACATTACCAGTTTTATTGCCGTTTTTGCATTTCATAAACACAGCGTTGCTACACATACTATAATACATCATATATTATTCATAAATATGCAAAACCTGCCAATGTATAACAGCATCAAATGTTTTGAAAATGAGAGGTGAATTACTTGCAGTATAAACATTTATTATTAATCTTAAGATCACAGATTTTCATTTACCTTCATTTTTACTCTCTGTAACAACTTATTTTAACCTAAAACTAAATTTTAATATACTAAAATATAATAAATATAATAAAATATACAAATCAGTCAAATGTTTTACTGTTCAGAAATTGTCATTCAGATGTAAGGCAAACAAAGGTGTATCCTTGTTTTAAAAAGATGCTACGGCATATTGCTATTCAGAAAGAGTGTCATCTGAACTTGTTTCAGGTGAAGCCTTGACCGTTTTTTTGAGATTAGTTCTCCAGCTTTTGAAAATACCCGTTCACTTGGTACTGAGGTAGCTGGCACACTGAGGTAATTTCTTGCAAGTTCACGAAGCAAATGAAACTTTGCTTCTTTCGCACTCCAGTACTGGATAGGACATTCTGTTCAAACAATGTTGGGCTCTGCCAGGTACAGTTTGAGTTCAGTTAAAAAATCTTGTCTAAGATTTTGTGATGAAACCTGTAAAAACACATTTTTAATAAAGATAGACATGTGTATATTCATGTGCAAAAATCAAATATCCAATATGTAGTTCAACCAAAAATATCACTTAGTTCTGTATGATTTTACTTAACTTGAGAGAAAATACCTTGAGTTCTTATCCAAAGTGATATGATTTTATTAAAGGTACACTGTATACAGTGCCTTCCACTAATACTGGAGCAAAGGCTTTTACTGAATAATCTTTTGCTCAGAATATTAACAAACATACTCTGCAAACAACTGCAAACACAACACAGTTGTGAACTTATGATACAGCACATTCTTCCATACGTTATTGCTCACATATGTGAGCAGTTACCATACGATACAAATATTAAGGGAAAAATATCAATTGAACTTTCATGAGTCACCTACTTCTTGAATGGCCCAAGGGTAAGCACAGTAAATAAACAACACATTTTCTATCCCTCTGCTATCCTTTCAATTTAATCTCTTACCTGAGTGTCAAAATCATGCCAAAGTTCATTTGCTGTTGAAGAAGCTAAAGGTGTAGATGCTTGTGCCTGTCCTTCTAAAACAAACATTGCACCTTCAGATGAGAGGCTCTTCACAGCCTCATCAGCCTTCTGTGGACTTATGAATCCAAGTGTTTTGAAGCGCGGATCGAGGATGGTTGCTTTTGACAGAAGACTAACAGAAACAACAAAAACAATTCATTGTACAAATCACAATCGACAAGAAATGAAAAACATGAAATAACTCTGTGAATGCACACTTTCCAAAGTGTTCAGAAAGACCATGGCATAAAACCTAATACAATGGGTGTATGTTTGTGTCATTCCAATCCATTACATTAGCAAAAGTACATCAGCTTTCCACAGCCACAGTATTTCTGACCACAGTAAAAAAATCTATATGCATCTCATGGGGAAACATACCGTGAAGTCTCATAGGCACTGCATCTACGCTGAAGGGTACCATTCAGAGCTTCTGCAAGACGATATCCAATGTTACCTTTTTCTTGTTGCTGCATCATACTTGTGGTGACCTTCTGTAGGTTTCGAACCATAGGAATGCATTTGGATGCTGTTACATTGAGCTCTGCAGAGATCTCCTCTGTTACCTGAAAGAATGGATGGAGAATCTTAAAAGAGAAAGAGAAAAACAAGAAACAAATTAAAAACATTAAAAATTAATTATTAGTTAGCCCAAAAATGAAAATTATGTCATTTACTCACCCTCATGTTTTTCAAACCTGTATGAGTTTCTTTCTTCATCTGACAGTAGCCATCGACTTCTAAAGCATTTTTTTCTACTTTGGAATTTTACTGTTACAGTTAATTCTGTCTCGTTACCAACATACAGAAAACTCAAACAGGTTTCGAACAACATAAGGGTCAGTAAATGATGGAAATTTATTTTTGGGTGAATTATCCTACACAATACAATGAATGGGGCTGTGATTTACCCTCACAGCACTTTCAATCGCATCCCAGTCAGAGCTGAAGAGGACTGGCAGTCCAGCATCTATTGTTGATAAGGCAGCAGACAGTGGGACTTTAACGGCTAGGAAGCGTTCGAGCATCAAGTATATGGAGTTCCACCTGGTTTCAACTTCTTGTACAAGTTTGTACTCTGGAAGCTTCATTTCCTGCTGATATTTTGAAAGTTTCTCCATAGAGACACAGCTGCTCTTAAAATGTCCAACAATTCTCTTCACCTTCTCTCTGGTTTCGGTTAGCTCAGCAACTGCAGACAGGCCATCCTTCACTATAAGATTTAAGGTGTGTGCGAAACAAGGCATGTGCCTTAAAACAAGTTTTTTTACAGCGGCTACCATGTTGGCAGCATTGTCTGTCACAACGCACCCAACTTTGTTTTCAATGTTAAAATCCCTGCTGCTATTTCATCGGCAGTGTGCCTCTGTGGGAACCTTTGGGGACAAAAGAAATTGTAATCACAATTACATGTATGCTTAAAACTACAGGAACACCCAAATAAATGGTAACCCTGCCTATGAAAACCCAAAGATTTACAGTTTTCTACATAAAATCATCCTATACAATGTAAAGAACATTCTGTAAAGACAGGGTAGGGTACTCTGTAAAAGGGTAGCTGGCAAATAAGTTTTTAATGTCTCATACGGTGTAACAGCACAAATTTAGAAAAAAAAAATCATCAAATTTCAAGAACTCTCTCTCACACTAAAAAAAATTAATTAATTAAAAAATTACCTGTGTACGTCCAATAAACATGACATGAGGCTGTCATCGATAATAAAGTGTGCTGTGACCGCCAAGTATGCTTCTGTGTTTATAGATGTCCACATATCTGTGGTGACAGATATGTGATCAGCTTCCTGTAAACAATAATAATGGTGACAAAATATTGTTAACAAATTTGACAATTTTGTTGACAAAATTTGAACAATACTGTGGCTTTGAAATGTTTTTGATTGTTTGAAATTGAACTGTTTTGAGAGCTTTCTCTTGTGGCAACTAGCACCAGCACCCCATCTACCCCTATATCAACATAGATCAAATGAAGGCATTTAGCAAATGCTTTTATCCAAAGCAATTTACAAAAATTATTTTGTACTTGAGCAATTATAACAGAATATAAGATGGCTTGATCGTGAGAAATTATGATATATAAAAAAATAAGCTGAAATCTAAAACTTCAGACAGATAATCTATTACAGCAAACAAATGGACTATACACACCTCCATTTTCTTTTTCAAAGAAGTCTTGGTGGTATCATACTGTTCTTCGAGGTTTCTAATTAGTGTTGATCTTGATGGGAGTTGATACCTTGGATCTAAAGCATAAACAAACTCTCTAAACCCCTCATCATTGACAATGTTGTAAGGCTGCATGTCTTTCACCATCATTTTGAGGAGCTTGTTATCAAGCCTTTTCTTTGGAATGCTGTTAGCTGCAATGCAAGAAAAAGATTAAAAGTTCAGTTATTTCACACTAATTGTATAGAACTATGTCACGTAAATAATTGGTACTAAAGCCTGTTCAATAAAAAAGAAAATTACTGACAGCCCTAAATAGCAAAAATAATCTGCCTTCACAAGAATAAATATATACATTAATCTATAGTTTCACTCAAACAGAACCCAGCAGTTGCATAAACACAGCCAATAGTTTAAGACTGTGTCTTAAAAACTAGTCTGAACAACTAGAAATTATTTATGGCTAATTAGTTTTATCTTTGTAATTTAAAATTGACCAATCTTCCTTTTAATGTAACAGACTTAACAAAATTATGACCAGTCTTGAAGAAAAAAATTAATTGACTACCATGTAAGACTAGTCTAAGCAGTTTATGCAACTAGCCTGATGCAAGTAGTCACAAAAGTAGTGGAAGTACTCCCTATATTACATAAAAACTCACGTAGATAAGGATCCTTAATAGCATACTGGTGCATAGCTGTCTGAATCGGATGTTTCGCTGGTGGAGGACAGTTTCCTGACTCAGCTCCCTAACAAACAAAATGTCTGCACATGGTCAGATGAAAAAATGCATACAATATCTTTCATATTACTACACATTACATGGTGTGGGTGGGAAAGGGGAAATTAAACCAAGGCCCACCATCTTGTCTAATCTTATTCTAAAAGTGACGTATTTTTGTAAGGGTTGTAGGTGATTTTACTGTCATTTAAATTTGATATATATGGACATTAACTCCTACTGTAAATAAACTCCTTATTTGGATTTACATTTCATTAGCTGAATTACGTGTTTTATCTTAATTAAATATTTATCTGGGACTGTACAGGAAAACATATAACTAGCATTACAGCGTTTACCTCATCCATCTCATCTTGACTGGCAGTGGTGCTTGGCCGTTGAAGACTTGCGAGTTCTGTTCGATGAAACTCTTTCAAGTGTTTCCACATGCACGACGTTGAACTGTTGAATTTTAAACAACGTTTACAAATATCACAACGAACTTTAGTTTTGTCTTCGGTCTGGTTGAAATATTTCCACATTGTTGAGGTCGGGGTTGCCATTATAAGTTAATGTTACTGGATTCAAAAACAGTCATCACTCAACAGTATCACTCAATCAACCACCACTTGCCAATTATGGGCATGTCCCACTCTCACCCTGAGGACTGGTACATGATTGGTTCGTAAAA